ATTACCTCACCAAAATCGATTTTAAATTTCAAAATCGATTTTAAAATAATCGATTTTCGATAATCGATTCCCATCTCCACTTGTCCACCCTTGAATTGTTATATAAGGATCGCATGAATGACACCAGGCTTCTGATGTATTATATTGATTACAACATGCACATGTCCCATACCATTTATTTCTTTCATAATTAAATACCAACATATATTCATTAGTTATTGTACTTTGTGTTAATCCGAATATTTCAAGTTTGCTATCATCTGATTGCAATTGATACTTAAATATAGTCTACATAAAAAAATATTAGTTTAAGCAAAATATATATAACAGATAATAAAATAATAAGTTTACGTACCTCTTTTAAAAAATCTAACTGTAAACTAGGAAAAATCATAAGCATAACGGTATATGTTGGTTCACCATCTAACAAGTTTGCTGAAAATATTGAACTAAAATCACTTTCGGTAGTTCTTTTAATATTATCTAATCTATTAAAGGGAATCCATTTAATTGCTTTTTTGTGGTTTCTAAATCTCAATTGAATTTCTTTAATGCAATCATCTATCTCTTTGTTTCCACTTGTCCAGTCTTGAATTTTTCTATAAGAATCGCTTGATTGGCATGAGGCTTCTGATATATTATCTTTGTTATAATGTGACATTTTTATTTAATTTTTAACATAATTATGAGCCAAAATCCAAACTCATAAATTGAATCATGCGAAGTTTAAGTAACAAGCTTTCTTCTCGATTTTCACGTTATACAATTTTACAATTTGGGGGTCTAAAGCCATGTACCTTTACACATAGATCTATAATTGCATAAATTCTGTTCTTGATATCTATATATAAATAAAACTATTAACTGCATCAAAAAGACTAACCCTAAGGTACATGGCTTTAGCCATCCCCTAATTTTGGTATTTGTTTCATAGGTTGTGTTACGGATTATCAAACTTAAATTACGTATACCCTGATCACTATATCAAGATCGCACAGGGTTCTTTATTTTAATGTTACGTATAATGTTGATACGTATACGTACGTAAGTGCATATTAAGTATCTATTAACAATAAATTTATTTTTATTTTTATTCTGTGCAGCTCACCTCACCGACGCTCATTTTTTAAATACGACATTTCACCTACAATCAATTTATCAATGTGCTTATTTAGCAGACTAACAAATTCCTAGACAAGCTCATTTCGTCGTAGATAACTTATTTCGCAAACACTTATTTCACAGACATTATTGTTTTTAGAATTATGTTAGATTAAGTTAGAGGAATTTATAAGATATAAACTTGTATGTGAAATGAGTTGTTTACGAAATGAGCTTGTCTAGGAAGTTGTTGTCTGCAAAACAAGTAAGTCAATTAATTGATGGTAGGTGAAGTATTGCATCTACAAAGTAAGTGTCAGTGAAGTGGTACAGATTCCTTTTTAAAATTTTGTTAGAAATATCACCTATACTACAATACTTTGACTCTTAGAGAACATAACTTTAAATTGTTTTTAAATAAGGAAATATTTTTTAATGTTTTTAAATCAATTTAATGTTCTTTAAGAACAGAGAACATTAAATTTACACATTGCTTATTTTTGTGTTCAAAAATAAAGCTATTAAAAAATATAAATGAAAATAAACAATGTTCTGGTCGATTTTAGCGTTAAATATCCAATTTTATTATAAATATGAATTTATAGAACATGTCAAAGCAGTATTTTAGCGATTGAAAATAATGTATTTATGTGATTCAGATCAAATTTTTGAAGATGAATAATTTTCCACGCAAATAGATAATACAATATAAAGAAATATAAAAATGAATAATGAAAAGACTATTTAAGGGAATAATTTCTTGGAATAAATTTACTAATTTGACAGCTTATAAATTGAGTAAATTTTTCATTCCATAATTTTTTTTAACCCCATTTTGAGCACCAAATCTTGTGGTAAACCAATTTTTACTTCTAAAATTCAATTAATTTTTAGTGAATATAAATTCTATGTTTTGAACTGTTTAATTTTCATTTTAATACCTTTCAGCAATGGTAATTCCGTTCAAACAACAATGCGTGAAAGTTAATAGCGAGAGAAGTATTTTTTCCAATATATTGTGTTTTATTTCTAATTTCATAGTTCTCTTGAGTTGATTGATGACTTTGAGCAATAAAGTTTTCTAAATCTTTTAATATTCGGGCGATTTGCAGGATTATTGTCCCAGCAGCGTTTATAAAGTTCCTCATATTCAGGCGGTGTACCCTATACAGGAGTTTCTCTTTCTCCGTTAAGAATACGAAAGATTACTTCCATATTATGCAATAATTTGAAGGGACATTTGACCGCTCGAAATTTCCCAGAGAATAACACCTAGACAATATATATCAGATTTCCTATCGCGTTCAAATGAATAATCATTTAGAAATTGAGGTTCAATAAATGCAGGAATTTCGGGACTTAAATCTAAATTTGCTGACACCACATGCAAAGAATGACCAAAATCTGCTATCATGGCTTTTCCTTCATGAACTAGTATATTTCGTGTGCTATAAAATTGTATAAAAATATATATTAATGTCGAATATGTTTAGAATCGTCATTTTTAAGCATGAAATCATAACAAAATTAACGTACAAGATCTCTATGAATGTAATTATTCTTATGCAAGAATTTAAGACCACATGCTATGTTTTCTGTAATACGTAACTTATCAGACCATTGTAATCTTGAAAAAAAATTTTCTAAATATTCTTGCAGATTTCTATCATTGGCAAACTGCGATACCCAAGAATTGGGTCTGTAAGATTTTGATAATAATCAAATTACTATAAGTTTTCAAAACAAATAAAATCATTTATAAATACTCATTAATCATTCACCTTTAACAGCTCCATGAATTCGAGCAATATTAGGATGAAAGCCAACTCTTTGTAAATGTTGAAGCTGTTTGCATGAAACATAAATTTTTAATATTTATATCAAACTAAAAAGTTTAAATGCAAGTAATACTTTTTTAAAGAAATTATTTTGATCTGATCTTGTATAAAATTTCCAAGGTTTAAGGGCTACAATTCATCCACTCAGCTTTATAAACTCCAAATTTTCCTATTTTTTCGTAATCGGTAAAATCATTATGATTATATACCTTAATGTAGTTACTAATTTCAACAGTTTTATCTGAAAATAAATTTAAAATTATAAGAATCTTTTCTTTCACACCTTCAATATCCATAGCGATCTTTTCATAGTGATCTTTTACATATTTTGGTTCACTATTCCACGCATCAAATATTTTTTTAGCTATATTAACTTTACTAATTTCAATATTAAACTGTTACTGATATAAGCTATATGAATTGGTCGTTCTACGAGTGTCACGATATATCAATTCATCAATACGCTCTTTAACATTGAAATACGGGGGAAAAGGAGGACGAATATGCAAAAAATCAGCATTTTGAGTTAATTTATGGGTACTTTGTCTCTATATTATACAAAATAGTTAAAATTATCAACAATAAACGGGTTTAAAGTAATAATTTAATATTATGTGTATATTAAATTCTCGCGAACTCTTAAAAACCCTTATCTTATAATTCCAAAATATTATCTCAACAATTCCCAGTAATTAAAATAACCTCACAATGATAAAGATTAATACGGATAAAATTTATCTGGATACAATAATTTTAAAATTTTGGATTGTCGAGAGAATAAATTGTTTGAATTTCGTACCAGGTTTTTGATAGCTTAAAATATTACTAATCTTTTCTTTTTCATATCAAGCATTGCCTAATTTTTATAAAATATTGATTTCTAAATGAAATTGTTCAATAATTTTACGTAATTCAAGCTAACTCACCCGAAGTTCTTCAGGGGTAGTATTTATGAAATTCTCCATCTCAGAATTAGTGAGACGTAAATATTAATTTAATTACAATAATCGCATTTATATTCCGGTGTTCTGGAGATATAGTTAGGTCTTTTAGAATTTTTGGAGCTAAAACATTTTAAAAAAAACTCCGAACATGAAATATAGAAGTGTAATAATATATCAAACAATTATAATTACGAGGCCTTTATATGAAATAGAATAGTTTACAGCTCAATATCGGGTGTTGACAAATGATGGAAGTTGAAAAGGCAATTTCAGAACATTGCCTTAATTATTTTGATTTTTCCAATTTTACCATTATCGAGAAAATTGATAATGATGTTTTTAAAGCCTGTTGGAAAGATTGTAAACAAATAGTCGTTTTAAAACGTCCGAAAGTTGATAAATCTATAGATATGAATATAGTTAATAAAGAAGTATTACGTAATTTCAATAATTATATATACATTATTTTACATGATATCCGTAGCTTCAAATTTTACAACAAGTCAGTAAAATCAGCTTTCATACAAATATTATTGAGTTTTATGGTAAAACAAAAGGTATGTTCTTTTTATACTGTACGTATGAATAAAAATTAAGTTTACTTAACATTAAAATTAACTTTATTATTAATATATAGATTCAAATATTAATTACTACATGATTTTGCAGTACGCTAATAACGACAATTTAAGGATATATTTAGAAAAAAATTTCTTGAAATTACAATGGGATGATAAATTACACATTGCAGAGGACATAGCGTGTGGACTTAAGTTCTTGCACGACGATGGTATTATTCATATCGATCTTGTATGTTTTATATTAGTATTTTTAATAATTACATGCGACAATAATTCAATTTATAGTTAGTGTTAATATATTTTATTTTCTAGCATACAAAAAATATATTAGTTCATGAAGGAAAAGCAATGATAGCAGATTTCAATCATTCTTTATATGAAACTTTAGAAAATTTAAATTCAAGCTATGGTGCGATAGCATTTATTGAGCCTCAATTTCTAAATGATCATTCATTTGAACGCGATAAAAAATCTGATATATACAGCCTAGGTGTTATTCTTTGTGAAATTTCGAGCAGTCAAATGCCTTTTAAATCATTGAGTGATATTGAAGTAACCTTTCTTATTCTTAATGGAGAAAGAGAAACTCCTGTGGAGGGTACACCGTATGAATATGAGGAGCTTTATAAACGCTGCTGGGACGCAAATCGCTTGAATATCGATTCTGTTCACAATTTATAAAAAAACTTATTTATAACTAAATGATGGTAATATTAATACTTTAGGGTTTAGGGAACAAAAACATTATTATTTAGAAAAATATATCGATTATCTTGAAGATTTAACAGTCATTAAATATAGAGTCAGATAAAGTAGTTGCACAAGGTCTAAAGGACAAATATATTATACATCGATCAAATTATTAAAAATTGATCCAGATAATGCAGTTACTCTTAATGTTGACAATGCCATTTCAGGGCAACACGTAAGGAATTTTGAATATAACAAATTTAAAGAATTTGACAAAATCGATGGAGTGTCTAGTTCTGCATTTAAAGCAATATGGAAATATCATGGACTCGTGTCGTTCTTAAAAGTTTAAAAGTTAATAAGATAGATCAAAAGTTTGATAATGAGGTAAAAATTAATTTGAGCGAATTTAAAATGTCCAACTAAATTCTTTTCACAAACTTATTTATATTATATAGCTTCAACCTTTACAAAAAGTATGCCTTCACTCTAAAATCAATCATTTTTATGGCATAACTAAAGGCATGTATTTGTACTTATATGCAGTGGCGCGCAAAAGTTTAAACGATAATTTGATCCCATTATTTTGATCCATTGTGGGAAAAGTTTTCAAAATTGATAGGTCAGTGGTAGTAGAGATGGGAATCGATTATCGAAAATCGATTATTTTAAAATCGATTTTGAAATTTAAAATCGATTTTGGTGAGGTAAT